CCTTAAAGGGGAACGCTGTTTTTTTTTAACATTTGGCCGTTGATTTTACGTTAATACATCATGTTCTATGAGTTTTGTGTCATTTGGAGCCGTTCTGAAGATATTCCGTTAGGTTATATCCAAATAACGTCTTCCTATGGGTCTTCTTAAAGCACAAACTAAACTGTTCATCATTTATTCTTTATGGTACACCAGCATTCATAACATGTAGGGAAATCACTGTCACCCAGACATCCACGGTTATATTTTTTATATTTTGAAAACAAAGCGGCGCGTGTATGACATCATCCGCGTGTGCCGGCTACCATTCATTCATCCTGTCCGCTGAACAGCTGCTAGTTTTCCTCACATGCCTGGAAGATGTCTAGTGTTGCTACCACAGATGATCTCGCTCTCCAAATGGAATTGAACGATTCAGATTAGCTAGAATGAATAGAAGGGGTAGAGCGTAGCGATACTGCTACATCACCATCTCTTCATCTCTTCAAAGCTGTGCAGCCCTCAGCTGTGTGTGTGTGTGTGTGACATTTCTGCTAAAATATTAATAAAAAAAACGTTTTGAAGTTTTTGTCAGGTGTATTTTTCCCATACATTCACTACACCTAAATAATGAGATTAATTCTAGCTAAGAAAAACAGACTAGTTTTAAGCCTTTAAATGAACTGGTACATTTGCCTTGTTTTTAAGCCAGTTGTATGCTTGTTTTGAGCAGTAATTGGTTAGAGGACATTTAATTCTAAGCATTAAAAATGTGATGGTTGATTGTTTACTTTCACAAAGTGCAAATTTTATGCCAATGTCTTTTCAATTACACTGAACGTATCGTGAAGTGTGGCGGCACATTAACACCAGTGTGGCAGATGCTGTGATAGCAGCTAACCAGCGAACCTGCCTCGTTAACAGCTGGCACTTGATTTTCTCGGAATTCCATTCCTACATTCCGACGTTTGATGACCTCTAGAAACATTTCTTTATATCTTTAAAACGAAAATGTTTTCTGCACAAACGTAGCACAAACGTTTCACACCAATTTCATCAGATTTGAAGAAGGTGGGGGGGGCAACTTCACTCAGGTCTGAAAAAGATCATCTACTGCTCTGAGAATAGTTGCTTCTACAGAGTCTGATCATCATTATCCCTGGAAAATCCCAACATTTGATTTGAAATCAGAGGGATGAGAAAATTATGGATCAAATTGATAGATTTATGTTTTACATCATTTTATAAGATGTATTCTCTTTTTGGATAAACTAAAGCTGAATAAATGAGTAGAAAATCTAACAGATTTTCTACAGTTTAAGTTAAAAAAATGTCTTATCTTTTTTTGATGGTCTCATCTTCTGGTTGTTAAATTAATAAAAAAAAATAGTAGAAACACCTTGTGGACCATCAGAACCACTAAAGTCCACAGATGCTCCATCACAGGGAGAATCTTGGACTTCTTGATTCAATAGGTAGATTTAACAGAAATTGTGACACAAATAAAAAAAAGCAGATTGAATGTGGTTCACCTTTCAGACCATCATTCTCATCCTTGATCTCGCCTTCCTCCGTGTGTTCCTTCTTTTTTCCTGTAGAACAGAACCAGGTGTTAGTCTGATCCATCAGGTAAGAGATAACTTAAGAAAATCATCTACTGCTATCAGAGTAACTGATTCTACACAGTCTGATTGT